CATTAGATAAATAACAGCACATTAGCAAACAATCTCGTACCATCATTCTTGGCTACATCTTTATTGCCATCATTATTCTCGGAAGAAATAAAAACCACCCTCTCTTTATTTATCTTCCCAAATAGGCAACATTTATTTATCCTAACAAATTAAATGATTCAGTTTAATACTCATTGTCTCAATGGAGGACTATTTTTTTTGTATCTTTATCTCTCAGCACACAACAAAGAAACAGCCACGTGGCGCCAAAATGTAATAGGCTTGAAAACCTTCACCTTTGGCGGCGAATTTACATACACTGCTCTCTTTAAAAGGGAAGAATTGGCGAGGGGAAAAAAAAAGAAAGGCAAAAGAGCATATCTGGTTGAGAAAGTTGTGCCTCGCGCAAATAAATAACCGAATAAGTGTAAAATAAGGCAAAAATATATGGATAAAGCCTTTCAGGAATACGAATTTGGATAAGTATTCCTTTTTCTGCCGCCCTTTAAAAGCAATCTTAAAGAACGTTTCATGCCGTTTGGTTCTTGCAAATTCCTTTCTCTTTTGTTTTCGCGGGAAAGGAAAGAATTCCTATTTCACCAAGAATTGCTTTTTATTGAAAACCAAAGTGTTTATTGGGCAACCAGCCATCGCTCTTCCTTTGTTTTGTAGATGCTTCCTGGAACCAGAGGGGGAGGGCCCCGGGTGTATGCAAATCGGGGGTGTGCGTGCCTTTTTTTGTTGTTTATTTATTCGAAGGGGCTTTCAAGTATTCGTATTGCGTTTCTTTTGCAAAAGTGAAGTATGGACGACGCTCTAGCATATGCTTTTCTTTTTATTTTCGAATTCGTTTTAAGACACAGGGTGGTATATGTCACAACCATCCGTGCAATCTTATTTTCTGAAAGAATTAATGTTTCGTGCAAAACTCTTGAGGCTATAAAAATTCGTTTAATTTAATTATGATATCATTTTGGCAAACAATGCTTTAATTGTGGAACTGTTCATCAACGTTGAAGCAGATTTTTATTTTTGTTGAGTGACTATCTCACATGAGATGGAACTCAATTTTTGATATTAAAGTACGATTATTTCATGAATTTAGACTCTATATTAAATTTTAAACTTATATTTGTAATATCGTTATAAATCGTTATAAAAATTTGAACATAGATTAAAAGTTTTAAAACTCTTAAAGACTAGGAATTGCTTTAAATATTTAAAAAAATTATCTCTTTTAAAAAATTATACTTTGACAAATTTCACCACATCAGTTGTGCAAATAATCATCTACTACTAATAAGTTTATTTAAGGCTGTCTCTTCACGTAATGTTAAAAAAAAAAGACTCTAATTTGGAATATTTTTCAGATATAAAAGTACTTCAACATTAATATTATATGCTGGCTTCTCGCTATTCTATAAAGCGTATGATGCTTTACTGTTTATTTATTTATTTATTTTTATTTTTATCTGAATTTATCCATTTTTTCTGATGTAAAATGTGCTTCACATTTTTCTCCTATTCCTGAATGATAAGTAAACTATCTCTTTTATGTTTTAAAATTAAAAAGAATTATTATTAATGGAATCTTTTCAAATTCAAAAAACGCTACATTATGAGCAGAGATACCTGGATTACAACTCTGTAAGCTTTCATGAAAGTTCAGTCGTTCTTTTCTGTCTGAAAATGTGCTCCGCGTTTAGTTCAAGCTCACATATGTTTGGTGAAGCCAGCGTTAAAAGAATGAAATCCAGGTATAAGAATTACGTCTGCATTATTTTGAAATTCAGTGCTGTACCGTTTCATGTTTTTCAGTGTAATATTTAAAGTATGGCATTTTTAAAAATTTAAAATAAAAAAAATTAATAAATAAATTGCAAAAACACATTATGAAGCTTTTACACATATTCCTTCAAATTTAATAAATTTATCTAAAAAATTGAAACGGAGTCAAGTAATTCATTGCATTTTAATAATATTTATAAAAACTTTAAGAACTCAAAATATGTTTCTCTAATGCTTAATTTAAAGAAATTATATATACTGTGAAATATTTTAAATTGTATTAAAAACGTTATGTGTGACGAAAAGGTTTGAAAAAATAATACCACAATACCCTTTTTTAAAAACATATCCTTTCAAAAACAAAAGTTTAAATATTTAAATAATTATAACAAAAAGGAAAATAAAATCCCTTCTATATCTGTCATTTTTCATAGCATAATCATTAAAACACTGCATGTTACTAAGAAAAGTTTTTTTTTTTTTGATAAAATTTCTGTTTTTATTAAAATTTCCTTTATTGTAGAGACTGAAACATTTCAAGTAATGAAATAATTTAATATGTTATAAAAATTTCTTATTTTTTTCTTCAAAAATTTGTAAAAGCAAAACATGTATTTTACATTTTCTTCCTTAAAAATCTGCAATCGCACTTATTTTTTAAATAAAACTTACTTCACTTGTCTCTGAAGTCTATTTCGCCTCAACGGGAAGCTAACATTAGTTGCGTTTCCCCCTATTTTTGAAAAGAAAACATTAAATGTAAAATATTCGGAGCAGATACATATATGCAAAAATAAAGCACACGCACAACAGAAGTGTTGTTCTTTTTTTGTGTATGTGTGAAAAATATAAGGAAGCACCCATAAGCACTCAGTGTACCGTGCGCTTTAAAAGGCATTACTTGGAGCATACGTTATTTTCACGTCCCATTTTGCTCCAACGCTTTCAGCCCAAAATGGCGTCGTTTCGAATTTTTGTTACTGGATCACGATTTCCGGCATTTCCCGAAACCCCCGTTTCATATCGTTCATCAGAGTTCAATGTAATAAGTGCAGGATAAATATTCTTTTTTTTTGTTGTTGATATTGTTTCCTGATACATTGTAAATGTTGAAAAAAGTGGATCATTTTTTTTTATTATTATTTAAAAACAAAGAAAATGGTGTTATTCTCAAAAAATGGAATTAAAATTAATTAGCAATTGGTTGTAATTTTGTTAATTAAAACAGTGAAATTGTAGCATGCAATATTATTTTTTTTAGGAATTATTAACTGTTAACATGTATATATATATATGGAACGTTCCAAATTTACTTGCCATGTGTAAGATCATTGTGTGTGTTTGCTTGTGTGTCTGCGTGTGCTTAATGATAGGAAAAATTTGTAGATTTTTGAAATGAATAGGGGAAAATAATTATTAAATCAATCATACTGACTAATTCGTATGCTTTGATTTTAATGTGCTAATTTATGACAGTAATTTTTACAAAATTTCACTACAGCAACTACAGTTCCGGAAACGAAAAGTATACTGAATGACACACACACACACACACACACACACACACACACTTAAATAAAAAATATAATATATATATATATATATATAAATATATATATATATATATATATAGTTGACACTACTTTAATTTCAATTATACTACTCTATTAATATTTACTGGAGGAAATTTCTCAATTCAGCTGTTAGTTTAAAAATATCGAAATATATGAGTTTAAACATATATAGAGTAGTAAATAGAAAATAAATATAGAATTACAAATATGTGAATAAAAAAAATAGCATATATACAAAACGAAGATGAAAATGAAAATTTAAAAATCCATTACCATTATTTCTTTTTATGAACATAATAGGGAAAAACTCAGGAAATGAATGTGGGCGTGTGATAACTTAAAGTAATAATTTTTTCACATTTAATAAAAATTTTCTTCGAAGTTATTGGTGTTCAGTTATGGTATAATACATCAAAAATATGATGTACTTTTATCATATCAAACATATGATATAAAATTTGAAAATCTTATATTATTTGATGATTATGCTGCATGTATTTCCCTTCTGACTGCAATATAATTTTTAAAAATTGACTCATTTGTTGTTGCCTTAATCGTAAGCAATCAAACAATTTAGTAAAACAGATCATAATTGTGACAAACCAAAATTTCATCCAGTTCCTAACAAATCAATAAAAATATTTATGAATTGCAATTAGGGAATAATGAGTAGTACGACAACTTGTTGGAAAAACTGTAATCAGTTTCAAAAACAGCAATATTTGGACAAAAAATAAATAATTTAATGCACCCCTTAAAACTGCCCATAAGGTTATTTACAGGCTGATTAGATAAACTGACGTTAACTGATTAAAAATTAACGTTCTTAAAAATCACATCACATATTAATTTTAAATGAAGTATTTTATTCACATAAAATAAAGTTATAACAATTTTGATTAAAAATACTAAGTAATCTAATAAATCATAAAATACTTTTTTCGTCAAAAAAACTTTAGAAGTAAACTTTTTTAATTTTAATTTTTAAACTTAATTCTTTGTGTAAAAAAAAAATCGCGATTTTACTTTACATTTATCTTTTGAAATTTGACTCTAAAATGGATAGGATAAACGTCTTTTTATTTAAAATAAATAAATAAAGAGTTAAAATTAGGTATAAATAATTAAAACATAATATTAATGCGGTAAAAACCTTACTGCAGTTTATATGTCACGCATGTTGCTCTACGCACATAATTTTATTTTTTGTATACATTTTTTCCTTAATTTACCTTTTATGAATAAAAGTTAATTTCAACGTAATTATTGTAAATATTAATGAAGCATCTAATTTATATTACTGTTGATTTTAATTTAATTAATGTGCCAGTTTATTCTCGCTATATTTTAAAAAATTTCGTGAGATGATGTAATAAATTTATTTATTTATATCTCACACACGAGAACATTAACAAGTAATATAAAAAAATTTAAGTTAATTCCTACTTAGATCAACAAAGAAAATTTTTATTTCAATTACTTTTTATTAAATAATTACAATTAATATAAATATGTATATACATATGACAGAATCACAACATTAAGTGGCAAAATAAAAACGATTTTCCATGCAATTTTCCTTTCTATATTTGGTGTTGGACTATTAGTTTTGTTTGTTACTATTTATTCGTTCATAAATCGCATTCTAAGAAATTAGGCCATCCCTGATAGGATTCGAACCCACAAACTTTGGATTAGAAGCCCAACGCGCTACCCATTGCCCTACAGGGACAAAATTAGCGGTTTTCCTTTTTATATTTGGTGTTGACTATTATTTCTGTGTTTTTTACTATTTATTCATTAATTAAGTTTAACTAATGAATTAATATTTGAAAAAACTGTATTAACATCAAGTGTCATCCACTACAAATTTAAAAAAAATGTATTTGAACATGAATGGATGAATAGAAAGTATTTTATTAACGATTGAAAATTTTAACAAGATATATAAATATATATAAAGAGAGTGGGAACTACAATAGTAGGAATTGAATAAAAAGACAGTAAGTCCAGTTCGATGTTTTGGTTACAAACTGTTATCCTACATTATCCGCCTGAGTATCTATCATCACTGACTCCATCGGGAATACCACCCACTAAACTGAATTTGGAGTTAGGGTGTATCGTCATGCTGTTAAGAAATTTATGTATTACTGATGGACTGTGTAATGGCACAAGATTTGTAGCGAAAAATATTCAGAATATATTGCAATGTGACATTTTATTATGAGAAAAAAAAAAGCAAAATTGCATGTATACGAAGGATCACACTATACCAGCGATGCTCAACCTGTGGCCCTCCGAGCCTTTTTAAGTGAACCTGCGATGGCCCATTGCTCTGAGAAATTCACTTATTTAAGAAAAGTGTATAAAAAATTTGGTAGGCAATTCTTTGTCAAGAGATATAATATATTAATTTTGCTTTTTGTTGTCGGTATCGTACGCTTACAAATTGATATTCTTTTTCTATTTGGAACAGTTACGGTTAGTAATAACAGACAACAGTGGAATGAACAGTGGGTGGAATTAATTTGTAACTATCTTCCATATCTTATAAGCGAAAAATATTCGAAGAAAATAAATCGATTCAAGACGATCGGGAAGTTGACTATTTTGCAGTGAAAAACAAACATGGATCAGTAATTGTTTGATTTGTCACGAAAGTGCTGTATTTAAAAAATACCAATAAACGGGAATCATTCAATGACACTTTTCCTTGAATATCTCTTTCAATAGGTGATGAATAGGTTTTTTCTTGAATAATCCTTGCAGCAGCAACAAAGTGTTTCGTCAGTGGTAATATCACAGTGGTAACAAAGACATACCATGAAGTTTGTTTTTTTATTAGTTATCATATGAAACCGTTTACTGAGGCATAAATTGTGAAGGAGTGTCTCTTAAATGCTTCTAATTTAGTGTTAGTAACAAAAATAAAAAATATAAAAAATAATAATTAAAAAAAGCAAATCAGGAATTATAATGTTATGATTAATTTTCCACATTTTAAATTTCCAATGTTATCTTGATCTTAAAGCATTTCTCCTCCCCCTCCCCCATTTATCCTCATGTTGCGGCCCGAGTGAAATGGCTGACATATGTTTGCGGCCCAGCATAAAAAAAGGTTGAGTACCCCTGCACTAAACACAGGAGGGGACTGGGATATGCCATTCGTACTGAAACAAATGCAATTTCCTTTAAGAGTGGCATTTGCCATGTGATTGTAATAAATCACAGGAAAAGGTTTTGAAAAAGTCGATTTATATGTGTAACATCGAAGGTAACAATATTTACTCATGGACAATTGTAAGTGGCTCTGTCAAGGTGCAGAAGCAAAGACGGAATAAAAATTCAGTGAAATTTAGAGGAAAAGGTGATTAGGAATATTGTTTTTGAAGAGGCATTAAATTGAAGCACAAATTAAAATGCGGAAATGATTACTTGAAATTTATTTTTGTTTTGCTTACAATATATTAAAAAATAAATAAATAAATAAAACGACATCAATGGCACACACAAGGAAGTTAGTGCTCGGGCATTTTAATCTTTCGAGCATGTCCTGGTCCCTAACATAATTTCTATGTGGTATAATTTATACCTTTTCTGAGATGCAAAGCTTACAAATGAATGCAATCATTTTTTAAAAAGATGCCTCCCACCAGTATCCTCCACTTCTCCAGTGTATCCCCTGCAATCCTTACTAATATTATAAACCAGTGTTTCTCAAATTTTCCCAATACTGGCCCCCCTTTTCAATCACAATTTTTATCGCGCCCCTTATACATTAATAAATTAATGAATGCAATAATAATGCCCTTTGACGCTAAAGCACAATACACGATCTTAATTATAAACCGTACAAATTAATAACATAAGTATTAAATTTTGTATTGATACTTTAAGCAAAAAAAAAATTAAGTAATAGGATAAAATTATTATGTTATTTTTCCTTTCTCATTTTTAAATTGGAACATATTGCAAAATCGGTGGCTGCTTAGAAGACAAAATATAGATATCAGCTAAATATAGAAAAGAACTCAGAGGTCAATTCTAAAAATTTTTGCTCTGCAAAACAAGCCCATGAAGTCGCTAATACTTATTAAACTGTTCTTAATTCAGTATTAATAAGATAAGTTTTAAAATTTTTTTTATATATGTTACTCTTAAGTAATATATAAAAGTAAATTATACTTTTTTAAGTAATAGGTTAATTATTTTATTTTTCTCTCTTAATTTTTAAATTGAAACAGATTGAGAAATAATTTTTAAATTTAAAAGATTTATTTCCTTCAAGATCCATTTCTAAAAGTACAAATGTTATTAAAAATAGCCTAATCTATTTGCTCCTTATCATATCTATTACATCTGGCATCCTTGCGAACGTACATGTGAGTCTAGGCAACCTAACAGACGTCTGCACAAAACATGTAAAAATGCTGTACTTCGTACAATTCTAGTCAGTCTTGGCCGAATCGATTAGCTACCGAATCCCTCTTGAATGTACATTTCATAATTCACGCGTTAATTATAATTCCCGGTATTAAATATTTACGGCAGTGGATTAAAACAAAATCATAGAGATATTTTTTTAAATCACAGCGAGCATTCGACGATAATAAGCATCAACAAGTAAACAGACGAGGGGCAAATTGATAAGCAAGTTACGAATGGGTTAGGGATCTATTTCAAAATACTTCAGAAGGGCTCTCAACTGCCGAAAAAGGGATCTTCATAGATTTCACATCCAGTGACGAAATTAAAGGGCAATTTTGTAATAAATCACTCTTTGAATTCTGGATAAAGGTGGATGCTGAATTTTCTGCACTGAAAACAAAAGCATTTCGTATACTTTACCTTTTTTAACAGCATACCTTTGAATCCGGTTTTCTGCGATGGCTATTTTGAGACAAAATATAGATCTGAGCTAAATATAAAAAAATAACTCTGAGAGTCAATTTCTAATTTTTTGCCTTCCTTTGAAAAACTTTTTCTCTCAAGATTTCAAGCCCATGGAAGTCACTGATAATTATTAAACTTGTTCTTATACTGGCTGAAGTACCCATCTTAACACGAGTTTATTTTTTAAAAAATGATAATATATTATTCTTGATATAATGCTTAATTGTAAGGAGAGTAAAACCAAGTGCATGACAATGTATACAAAATGTAAAATGATTTATTGAAATGAATACTCATATTATAAACGGTTTTGAAATGAACTGTAATTTTAAGCCTCCAAATTAGCATTTAGAATAAATGTTAAGTAATAAAAAGAATATAAAATTCTAATGAATAACAATTGTGTAATTTTAATATTTAAAACGAAAAACCCGGGATCAGGTGTGCACTCGATACTAACGTTAATGGTCGCGGGGGTGATGCACCCAATTCTTTTATTTTTTTAATTATTTTCAATATACAAGATAAAAATCACAATTTCAGTGAATAATTTAACTAAGAGAAAAAATACTTACCTATTTCAAGGATTTTTCTATTTGTCTTTCATATTTGAAAATATCAATAAAACTGAACTAAATTGTTCCAAATGTGCGAGACCTTAATAAAAGGGCACAAAAACACAGACACTTTTTGCTAACATTACAGGAAAGCTATTTGCAAGCAAAACTGTCACATTTTGTTCACGTTTTTGCAATTTTAATATCCTTTGATGATCGACAAATATCCTGTTGAACTTTTTCTTGCTTGTGTCTTTTTTACGGGGGGAAGTGCATTTTGGTACAGTTATGGCTTCATATTTTTTTGGATAAAGTTCTTAATGTAGCTATTGAAAATTTTCCATTCGTTTCATGTTTATTGCTTTTCTCAAATTTACCTTCGCTAACATGATTAACATGCATTATTTCAGCAAGTGCTTCCCTTGTTTGATCAGCTCAATTTCCCTTTTAGAGAGATCACAGATGCCCAATTCTTTTTTCATTCAGCTCATTTACATTTATAAGCCATAATCAATCGTACAACATCACAATTAAAACCACTAAGTTATTCATAGGGGAAAATGCAGCATGTTCAAGAAAAATATTTTGGAAAATAGTGGTCGTGCCGGGAACTCGTCTAAACAAGTACCTTAAGATTCTAAAAAAAGTTTCCACTCCCAAAAGGAGATATGTTATCAATTCATTTTAGCTCCCATTAAGACTGTCATATTAGAGGATTCTCTGTCAAGGTCATTGGTAACAAATAAACAGTTCTCCCAAATTAACGATTTTTTGTATTATATGTTCAGTTTTACTCATAAAAAATAAATCTTGGCCAATTAATCCTTCAAAGTGCTCAATATCTTTCTCCATGTATCAAAAAAATCTTTCACATTGTGAAAAAAAGCGCAACAAATTATATAATTTACAACTTCCTAAAAGAAAGGGATGACAGTAAGTTCGAAAGCCAGCAAAAATAATATTTTTAAGTTAAAAAAAACGTAATAAAATCCTCATCGTAGGATTACAGCAAAGCAAACAAAATATTTTTTATTTAGCTATAGGATCAAAAGATAGCTAATGAGCGTTCAAAGTAAAAATCTTTTATTTTTGATTACCTTTTTTTTACCAGATGATATATATAAATCATATATAATGCAAATCTGTATTTTTTTATTATATCAGAAAGTATTTTGTTTTTTTTTTTCATTCCAGTAAACTAATTTTTTAACCTTTTATTTTCGTATGCTCGCCCCCTTGAAGGTTATCGCGGCCCCCCCCCAGGTGCGCCCACTTTAGA